ATTATAGTTCAAGGAAGTTGAATTATTAGCTTTGAAGTGGGCAGTTTGCGATAAATTCAAAGATTATTTAGCGGGAAGGGAATTCATTATTTATACAGATAACAGTCCATTGAGTCATTTAGAGACCTCTAAGCTTGGGGCGGTTGAAAGTCAGTGGGTAAATAATTTGCAACAATTTAATTTCATGATAAAATACAAGCCTGGCAGAGATAATACAGTAGCTGATGAGTTAAGTAGACTAACACAGGAGGAGGAGAGTGAAACGGATGAAGAATACGCGGCAATGGCAGTCACCAAAGACGCGAATGTGGGAGAGCTTTGGCCGGAAGGGGAATTGAAGGATGCGCAGGACGAGATGAAGTGTTTCAAAGGGATTTCAGTTACTGGAGAGGGACATGGCTAAGGGAGAGAAGGATGAGTGGTTAAAAGATGAAGATTTTCGAAAATTGTATAGAGTAAGAGATCATTTAAGAGTACAGGGTGGAATTATTTGGCATAAAAAGAATGTGGGAATAAACTTGTGGAAAATCATCCCAGTATTGCCTCCAAGGTTACAAGGGCAGTTATTGCGCGCCTGTCATGATCAGTTTGGGCATCAAGGGAGGAATAGAACCCTGAGTTTAGTAAAAAGTCGAGGGTACTGGCCAGGAATGTCAACGACGATAGCAGAATACGTCGCTGGATGTGACAGGTGTAGCGTAGCTAAAGACGAGACGCCGAAGTCACATGCTTTGATGGGAAGATTGGACACGAGCAAACCCTGGGAAATGTTAGCTATTGACTTTACGGTTTTAGAAAAGAGAATGGGTATGGAAAATATTTTAATTATCACGGATATCTTCAGTCGTTATTCTTTCGCATTTCCCACTAAAGACCAAAAGGCAACAACCGTAGCGAAGATTTAAAAGAACAATTTTGATAGATTTGGGGCTCCAGATAAATTATTGTCCGATCAAGGGAGAAATTTTCTCAGTTCCGTTATTAAACAGTTGTGCATTAGTTATGGGGTGGAAAAAGTTAGAACGACAGCATATCATCCACAAGGCAATGGGTGTTGCGAGAGGTTTAATCGAACGCTGCATGGGCTCTTAGTAACATTAGATGAAAGAGCAAAGAAGAAATGGCTGAACACATAGCTGCCTTAGTTGCCCATTATAATGCTACTCCACATGCAACCACGGGATACTCGCCATTTCATTTAGTTTTTGGCAGGGAGCCCAAGTTACCTCAGGATCCGATAGTAAGTTCTTCAACAGAAGAAACTATTGATGATTGGATGAGTGAGTTAAGGGAGATACAAGAGACTGTCGGGAAGATAGCAAAAGAAACGGAAAACAAACAGAAAGAGATGACAAGGAAGCAAAGGGACATAAAGGCGAAGGATATTGACTGGACAGTAGGTCAGGAAGTTTTATTGAGAAATAATGTAAAAATAGGTAGAAGTAAAATTCAGGATCAGTGGCATGCTAAACGGTGGGTAATAACGGAGATTTTGGAACCTAGAACGGGGCTGTATAGAATAAGATCTTGCGATGAGGATGACAAAGAGGAGCGAATTGAGAACAGATGCAACCTGAGAGCGGCACCAAAATTACAACCTTTTGGAGTACCGGCAGTAGATGACGATAGCAGAACACTCCCACGGCGATTGCGTAATCGTGTAGTAGTAGATAAAGGAAATAAAGGTAATAGGTGAAGGGAATAGGTTAAGGGAAAGGTGAAAGCAGGGTTCTATCCTGAACGAGGATTGGCGTCCTCTGCCTTACTTGAGCTAAGTCTTTCTTTTCTCTTTACTATATCTACTACTCCTATCTTCAGGGTTCTATCCTGAACGAGGATTGGCGTCCTCTGCCTTACTTGAGCTAAGTCTTTCTTTTCTCTTCTCCTATACTTCTAGCTTCATTTCTATTAATATTAGTGTGGGACGGTGTTTAAGGTCAGGTAAAGGGATATTTATTGACGATTTAGAGAAATTCACATGGAGTGTTAAAACAACGAAAGAAAGGTGAAAAGAATGAAAGTAGAATTGTTAGAATAATGAAAGAAGGGTGAAAGAACGAAAGTAGAGGGATAAGGAAACATGACGAAGCAAGAATGTAAGACTGACGCCGAAATATAAGCTTGTGGAAGTGGTAGGTCCACAGGGACTGACGCCAGAGTTTATAGTAGTAGGAAGTGGTAAGTCTGGCTGATGAGAAAATAAATCAGGACTGAAGGAGCGAGAGAATGATGAAACGGATGGAAAGATAGCGGGGAAGATGGACCAAAAAGAAAGACAAAAGAGTAGGTAAATTTTACGCCAGTTGCTGCATTTAGTCAGGCTGGGTAAGGGATGAAGAACGAGTTAAGGAAAAGGTATTATTATGCCAGTTTCCATATTGTTAAATCAGGCTGGGTAATGAAGAGGTGAAGGAAGCAGGAATAATATTCTTATGCCAGTTTCCATATGTTAAATCAGGCTGGGCGAGTTCAAGACGTGGGATAAACTTCCAAATGTGTTCCTTAGCAGAAGAGTGCATAAATGTTTTGACTTTCTATGAGCTTATCGCCTATGGAAAGTTGTGAATGACTGGGCTCAGAGTGGAGCTGAGCCGAAAAAATAGAGGGAGCGATCGAAAGGGTAAGGAATGCAAGAGTGACTAAGAAACAAGGATAAATAGCAGCTAAGAACATTAGCCTATGTACTGCCTCCAGTAAAACACTAGCAGTCAGTTAAACCTTTATTGTCATGATCACAAGCTGGTAGGTATGAGCAGTGTATCCAACTTGCAAGATGACAACATACACGTACGCGTGAACGTGCACGTGATATGAGGTGAAAAGCTGTAAGAAAATAAATCTTCACAGTTTTGGAAATAAAAAGTTGTACACAAATAAAGTAAATGAATCATACAAATATCAAATAATATTAATACAATATGAGATAGAAATATTAAGAACAAATCAATAGAAAATTATAAAAATACTGCAAGACTAACATATATATAAACATTAAACAAACAAATAACTTCTTATTCCTTATACTATCTTATGACATTTCCTGAGTTATTAAGGCACTTTATAAAAGATCAATAATTAAAGACTAGATACTTTCATTAAATGAATAGGAAACAAAACATTATTCTTTGGTAAATAACTGAAATAAAGCTTGGTAAAAATATAAGAGTACAATAGGAATGGGACTACTTATATCACATAATTTCAAGTTATATATCACATAAAAGACACAACTTTGTTATTAACATATGCTCTAACATCTGAACAATACATTATTAACAGTATAAATAGTTGACTTACAGTGTGGCTGCCCAAATCTTCATAAACAAGAATAATTTAAAAGTACGCAGCACAAGACGTCTCACGTGGCTCTCTAGAGGGGCTCCGCGGATTCACAACAATGCGTTTTTGTAGGGCGTTCGTACAACTCTAACGTCACTGTAGCCAACATTACAAACTAAATGAAATTAAAATATTCTCATGTTAATACATTAAATCAAATAAATTCTTGATCTAAATTCTATATATATAATATCAGACAAGGAATCCTTGATTCCTTTACACTCCCTGCCTGATATCAACAAATTTGATATCACTACTCTAATACTGATTAAATGACAAATAGGAACTGAAATGTGACTTGTTCAAATAAAATTAGCTACTTAGCACCAGAAACCAAAAGAATTAACTCTGAAATTGGTCTTGTGTACACAACTGGCTTTCCATCTCTCATAACCTTTAACTCCACTTTCCTTACTTTGCCATCTTCACTTTGGATAGCTCTTACAACAATTCCATATGGCCATTGTGTACGACAAACACTTCTGTCTTTCAATAACACAACATCACCTTCAGTGAGACTAGGTTTTGCACAACACCATTTTCTACGTTCTTGGAGTGTGTGCAGATATTCTTTTTTCCAACGATTCCAAAATATTTCTGAGAGGGCAGAAACACGTTTCCATTCTGTTTTCAAAAGGTCTTTTGTATCAATTTCTCCTACTGAATCTTCTACATGGTCTATTCCAACTTTCTGAGTAAGAATGGTGGCAGGTGACAAGATGAAAGGGTTTTCTGGATCAGTTGATACGTTTATTATTGGTCGATTGTTCACTATGGCACATACTTCTGCCATGAAGGTTGATAACACTTCATGCGTCAAAGTTTTATAAGGAGTTTCAGCTAGCATTGACTCTCGAGATTCGAGGCGTTCCCATACACCTCCCATGTGCGATGAATGGGGAGCGTTGAAGATCCATTTAGTGCCTGTTTGGTACAGATGGTCTACTATCTTCTTTTCTTCCACATTTACTGCATCTATCTTGAGGCTATCAGTTGCACCAACAAAGTTGGTTCCTCGGTCAGATCTATACAGTTTAACTTTACCTCTGAGAGCTTCAAATCTTTTAAGTGCATTAATAAAAGCTGAAGAGGACATTTCTTCTACCAACTCAATGTGTATTGCTCTTGTTGTAAGACAAGTGAACAAAATAGCCCACCGTTTAGAATTTGCTGATCCACCACGAGTTCTGCGTGTCGTTATAGTCCAAGGTCCAAAAGCATCAACTCCAACATTGGTAAAGGGTGGAGTATGTTCTAAGCGATCTGCTGGTAGATCACTCATCAACTGGACTTCTTTTTACCTCGTAACTTTCTACACTGGACACAGGAGTGTAAGATTGATGAGATCAACCGTTTCACGCCTGTAATCCAATATCCACCAGATCTAACAGCTCCTTCTGTAAGATGACGTCCTTGGTGTCGAACACTTTGGTGATAGTGACGTACTATAAGTGTAGAAATATGACTTTTACCAGGCAAAATGATTGGATGTTTCTGGTAACTTCCAAGACTTGATTGTTGCAATCTTCCGCCAACCCTTAACACACCATCTTCATCTAAGTACGGGTTGAGAGCCATAATCGAGCTAGATTTTGGAAGATGCATTTTTGCTTCAAGAAGTCTAATTTCTTCTTTGTAAGTTTCCTTTTGAACTGCTTTGATCACAAATATTCAGCTTTTCTGAAAGACTCTACACTTCTATCAGCTCTACCTTTAAATGATTTGGCACATGCACATCTCTGCAATAAAGCAACAGTATTTACTAGGCGATACCACTCAGAGAACCTTTCAAATCTGTGACACCCAATTGATAAATTGTCAATCACACAGGTTTTAGCTGCCTTTACCAGAGCATCTGGCCTTACTTCCTTATCATCTTCTGGTTGAACTAGCTGTGGAGTTTCTTGAGCAAGATCATGACGCCTACTCAAGAATGTTTCAGGTCCTTTCAGCCATATGTCGTCACACGAGAAATCATTCACCATAGAGCGAGTTGCTCGATCAGCTGGATTCACAGATGTAGGAACATAATTCCATTGTTCTGGCTTAGTTGACCTGTGAATACGGTTCACTCTATTCTCAACATACACATAAAATCGTCTTGTTTGGTTGTGGATGTAGCCAAGAACTACTTTACTGTCAGTGTAAAATTTCACTATATCAATTTCTTCATCAAGGTTCTCAAGTACCACTTCACTAAGTTCTACTGCAAGTACTGCAGCACACAATTCTAGACGAGGTATAGTATGCCCATGCAAGGGTGCAATTTTAGCTTTCCCCATCACAAATCCAATTTCTGAACTGCCATCTTCGTGTACAGTTTTCAAATATGAGACAGCAGCAATTGACTCTTTGGAAGCATCTGAAAAGACATGCAATTCTTTTTTGACTTCTGTTGACAAGGATACTGGAACATACATTCTTGGTATTTTCAAACATTGTAAGGTCTTAATACGTCTTTCCAAACTTTCCATTCCCTCATCCAGTTTTCTGGTAGAGGTTCATCCCAATCAATAGTCCCAGATAAGAACTTTCGCAGAAGCAACTTGCCTAGAACTGTAAGCGGGGCTGCAAATCCTAGAGGATCATAAATGCTGTTGACTGTTGACAGCACACCTCTACGAGTGAAGGGTTTATCTTCTTCTGCAATCCTATAAGTAAAGATATCTGCTTGAAGATCCCAATATAATCCTAAACTTCTCTGCAACGGAAGATGTTCAGCATCAAAGTCCATGTCCTTCAAATCTTGAGAGATGTCGTCACCTGCAAGGCTGACATGACTTCTTGGCTGTTTGAAACAAATTTGTGAAGTCTCAAATTTCCATAATCTGCTAGACCCTTCTGAGTTTTGTCAGTAGGTTAATAGCTTCTTCAGTACTTGATAGAGATATCAGACCATCATCAACATAAAAATGTCGCTGGACAAATTTGTGACGTCTTCACCATATGTACTTCCTGCAGCTTCAGCAGTCTTCTGTAGTCCATATATTGCTACTGCGGGTGATGGACTATTTCCAAAAACATGTCTGGTCATACGATATTCAATAAGTTCTTTACTTAAATCATTGTCTTTGTGCCAAAAAAACGAAGATAGTTTTCTGTGTTCTTTATGTACTTCAAATGAATAAAACATCATCTCAATATCTGCTAATACAGCCACTCTGTTCTTTCGAAAACGTAGAAGTACACCCAACAGAGAATTATTTAGGTCTGGACCTGTCATCAACACATCATTCAATGATGTACCTCTAAACTTAGCAGCAGAGTCAAAAACACACTGATACGACTAGGTTTCTTTGGATGATACACTCCAAACACTGGAAGATACCAACATTCTTCATTTTCTTTCAAAGGTGGTGCTATTTCAGCATGACCTCTTTCCAAAAGCTTTTTCATAAAGTCTAGGAAATGTTCTCTTTTAACAGAATTGAACTGAAGACTCTTGGCTAGGCTATTGGCACGTCTCACAGCCATGGATTTATTGTTCGGTAATCTTTCTTTAAGGGCTTAAAAGGTAAAGGTGCACTCCAGTTACCTGCTGGTTCTTTGACAAATTCTTTCTCCATTAACTTCAAGAAACATTTTGTCTTCTGTGGATTTTCCAGGTTCGTCATCATTTTTGGTTCGGTGAAACACTGTAGAACCAATATCATTTTCCTTCCATGGTGTAAAACCGCTGTGATATCCTGTGTCTTCTTACACATATACAACTTGGACAAGGCTTCAAGACTGATGGTCGACCATCAGGATTTACATATATTTTCCTTACATTCACATTCTTTGTTGCGTGATGCTTCCCCAGGCAGACTTCACCTACAATTACCCAGCCTAACTTCATCTTCTGGGCAAAGGGTGTACCTGGTGGACCTGTTACTTGATCTAGTACATGGTGAGCTTCGGGTAGATCTCTACCAATCAATAATTGAATCTGAGCCTGATCATCAAGAGGTGAAATTTCTGAACCAATGTCTTTGAGGTGTGGATGAAGTCGAGCAATGTTGGGAGTTGGAATCTCAGTCCTATTATTAGGAAGTTCATCACATTCGATGACTGTAGGAAGGCTCATCTGTAGACTACCATCAACAGCTTGTATGCATAGTCCACCAGCTTTCCTTCCTGTCATAACTGAACGGCCAGAGCAACTAGTTATGATGTATTCCTCTGCCACAGAGCGAACATCAAAGAAATCTAAAAGCTCTCCTTTAGCTAAAGATTTGTTACTCTGATCATCTAATATAACATATGACTTCATACGCTTCCTCGGGTTACTCTCATGAAAAACGTAAACTGGCAAAATTTTAGCACAAGACTTTCCAGGAAATTCCTCACATACACCAGTACTCTTGTTGGTCACATTAAAGCTTGTTCACGTCCTGACTCTTTAACAACACTCTGCTCCGGCTTCTCCCTGCCATGAGCCTTAGTACTTGTCTCAGGAACAGACTGAAATTTCTTCAAATGCATAGCAGTGCAATGGTATTTACTTCCACAGTCTTTACAGGTTATGTCCTCTGGACAATCTCTACTTAAGTGGTTCTTCGAGATGCAACACTTAAAACATATTCTATTTTCTTTCAGAAGTTTCTTGCGTTCTTCTAAAGACTTTGACTTAAAGCTTTTACATTCATGTAGAGAATGGTTGGTCCCATGTATTATACATTTAAGGGCTTCTTCATCAGGCACTACAGTCTTCTTTGTAGTTACTTTAAATTTATCTAGCTTTGAAGTCTTGTCTATATGAGATTTTACTTCTGGCTCAAAATTAAATCCTGGATCATTATGGATTTGTGCAACGTCAGAAATGAAGTCTACAAAATAAGAAAAGGGTGGGAATAACACACCTTGTGTTTTCTTGTAGTTGGATGCTTTGTCTCGCCATTTTCCTTGTACTGAAGGAGGTAACTTGCTTATCACAGGGTTTATTCCTGCAGATGTGTCAAAGTGTCCAAACAGTTTCTCGTAAAGTGGATTTTCTTTAAGCGACTGTACTTCGCAAGAAGATCATGCAGATCATACAGTTTCTTGGGATCTCTGAACGTAACCTTAGGAAACTTTTCTAGTTTCTTCTTGATAGATGCTTCAATAATCTCAGGACTGCCATATCTATCTTCAAGCCTCTTCATATCAACTTGATGCACTTACTTGGATCATGTATATTGGAAGTCCTTATACTCTGCGCAAATTTGGACGACTCAGGGCCCAGCCACCGGAGTAAAAGGTCAACTTCTTCCAAAGACGTAACATGCAGATCTTGAATGGTCTGCTGAAAAGTAGTTTTCCAAGGCACATAAGACTCAGGACGATCATCAAATGGACTGAAACGTGCCAGGGAAAGTTCCTTCTTCAAAAGGAAACGCGACAATTCTCCACAACAACTGTTACTCACAGGATTAGCCTTGGCATCACTGGGCTGACTACGAAGAGGTTGTATGACAGGCATAGCTTGTTCCAAAGAAGGGTTGAGATCAAATTCTGGTACCTTGTTCTGATCTTCCACGTACTGCTTGACACGACTTAAAGAATCTGCTGCCTCTTGCTGCAGGAGTTCTTGTGAAAGAACTTTCTGTTGTAACTGTACACCAGGTATTCTACCTGAAATAGATGACAACTTATCACTACTTTCTTCACACACTACTCTGTACTCAACTTCAGCCAACTGAGCATTGCGACGAGACACACATAATTCTAATTCTGCTTCAATTTCTGCCTCCTCACACTGTAACTTTGCTTTTCTTTTCTTTATTTCTGCCTCTTTCAATGCACTTTCAAGCTTAACCTTTGTGGCTTCAGCTTGTATTCTTTTACTTAACAACATAGCTGAGACACTTTCTGCAACTGATTTAGCACTTAATTTCTCCGAGCACTCAGACTTTTATCAAGATATTCTAATTCTTTCTTTATATCACGTATGATCACATCACTTTTTGCTTTGTACTTCATATAATCTTTCCTGCTTTCTTCCGTATTTGTTCTACTCAAATACTCTAAAAACTGATTTACACACCTTGAATAAGAATCTAAGTTCTTTTCAAGAGCTTTCTTATATTCACTATCACTTTCTGCGGCTGCACCGCCTTTGTAATACCTTAACATTAGGTCTTCAACTGTACACTGCACTTGAGAGAGCTGATCCAAATATTTGGTGGTTGTGGAAATGTACAGTTCTTCTCCTTTTTCTGTAAGGGTCCTTATTCTTGCTCCAGACGGTCTTGTTTCATCTGGGTCTAACTGTGGGTGGGGTTCCTGCTGTGGATCCTCCTCCGCTTCCATTTTAATGTGAACGTCTGCGTTGCTTGTAGTCGACATGCTGAACAATTCTCCTGAAGTTATTCGGCAAGATGCTGAGAGAGACTTTCCTTTGTTGATAGTTGTATAACTCTTCACTCAACAGAAGGCTGACTCTTTTCACTCAGCTTGTTAGATATCTCACTCTTCTCACTCTGGGCATAGAAGATGGCTGGCAACTATTTTCACAATAGGCTTGGAAGATGGCTAGCTACTCTTTGCACTGTAGCCTTAAGAAGAACTGTAGCCTTAGAAGAAGGGCTAGCAACTCTTTTCACTGTACTGTAAGTAAAACACTAGCAGTCAGTTAAACCTTTATTGTCATGATCACAAGCTGGTAGGTATGAGCAGTGTATCCAACTTGCAAGATGACAACATACACGTACGCGTGAACGTGCACGTGATGTGAGGTGAAAAGCTGTAAGAAAATAAATCTTCACAGTTTTGGAAATAAAAAGTTGTACACAAATAAAGTAAATGAATCATACAAATATCAAATAATATTAATACAATATGAGATAGAAATATTAAGAACAAATCAATAGAAAATTATAAAAATACTGCAAGACTAACATATATATAAACATTAAACAAACAAATAACTTATTCCTTATACTATCTTATGACATTTCCTGAGTTATTAAGGCACTTTTATAAAAGATCAATAATTAAAGACTAGATACTTTCATTAAATGAATAGGAAACAAAACATTATTCTTTGGTAAATAACTGAAATAAAGCTTGGTAAAAATATAAGAGTACAATAGGAATGGGCTTACTTATATCACATAATTTCAAGTTATATATCACATAAAAGACACAACTTTGTTATTAACATATGCTCTAATCTGAACAATACATTATTAACAGTATAAATAGTTGACTTACAGTGTGGCTGCCCAAATCTTCATAAAACAAGAATAATTTAAAAGTACGCAGCACAAGACGTCTCACGTGGCTCTCTAGAGGGGCTCCGCGGATTCACAACAATGCGTTTTTGTAGGGCGTTCGCACAACTCTAACGTCACTGTAGCCAACATTACAAAACTAAATGAAATTAAATAATCATTCTCATGTTAATACATTAAATCAAATAAATTCTTGATGATCTAAATTCTATATATATAATATCAGACAAGGAATCCTTGATTCCTTTACAAAACCCCATTAATTTGAATCATCATCAAAGGTCTACCAGTCTTAATCTTATCAGTGACAGGTGCAGTTTCTTGTTGCTGCGCCCCCACATAGACATCATAAATTGCGCGTTCCCGAGGGATTCGCCGCGCGAGAAGCCGAGAACGGTCGCGTCCCGCGGGCCTCTTGAAAGGGAGAGTTTCGCATTAAATGACCTGTCCGGTTACACGAGTAGCAGCGGAGTAGATCATTTGACCCTGAACTGGTCTTTGCCTCCCCTACAATCTTTAGTGTCATGGGTATGCAAATTATGATACGAACAAAATGGCGACTTATGAACGCGTGGCGACATTGCGTTCGCCTTGTTCTCCGTTACTTTACCGTTTGTTCGCACATTCCAAAATCTCTGGGCTGCATCTCCGAGCAATTGCAGAGGTTCGTCCTCTTTTAAAGCTAACGCCTCTCTTAGCCACTGGAGAAGACCTTGTAGAAAAATACGTCTAATTAACTCATCTGGCACTCCGATTGAGCGGGGGTAGTCTTGCGCGCCCTGGTAAACTACAGATTCGACGGTGATAAAAAAGTCAATCGGCGCCTGACCGGAAGCAAGGTTATGATTGTTCAAATGATTGAAGAAATCAATGAATGAACATGTACCCCTGGATTTAGCGCGGAGCTTTTCTTTGAATTCAAGCCATGACACGATACCATCAAAAACGGGAGAATTAATGATCAGGTCGGCGGTACCGCGGCATGAACTACGAGCTGCCCTTATGTACGATTCGTCTGATCGCGGCTGTGTCACGTTCTCGATCTGTCTGAGCCATGATTCTACCTCTTGATTTCTTTTGAGACGTTGGGATGCTGGTGTATCGGCCCTGAAATGAGGAACTGCCTCTTTGTGAATGATGTACTCAACCTGTGGCCGTGCTTCTGTCATTAACGAGTCATTTGTAGTATTCTGTGTCAAGGCTGCGTACTGTGTCTGTAAACTGGCCATCTGCTCACTGAACTGTTGGAACTTCTGATTCAGTTCCTCATACATCGGCAAATCTAAATGCTCGCGCGACGGCAGTTCGCGCATCGATCCCGGTAACGCGTTATCATCTCTCCGAGGTGAACTTGTTCGAGATGTCCCGGCCATTTCTCCGTCATTGCTACGTTTCGATCGTCTATTCATGCCGACTCAAACAAGTAAAATGTAAACAAACAAAACGAGCGTGACAAACGCACGATTGTCACGGGCCTAGGGTTGTCAAGCTGACAGCTACTCGTTCGAAAGAAGGTCGCACTTACTGTACTATGCTAATCAAACATCGTGCTGTATCCCACCGCTGCCACCAACATAATATACGGTGCAGGTTGTAGCGGCCATATAAGAAAGAAAAATTCTCGCAAGATAGGAAAAATAGCTCACTGCCACCACCCATTTAATTTACGTATGGGAACGTTTAGTGTAATGGTTGTGAGGTGATAGTGTAAAGGAAGAGTGTAGGGAACGGAAAGATAGGGAGTGTATGTGTGTGTGTGTGTGTGTGAGAGAGAGAGAAAGGTGTGTACATGTAGTGTGCGAGAGTACGGTAGACGTGTTCTTTAAGCCGAGAGGAGACATGTGCGGGGGAAGATCTCCCGGACGCAGATTGGTCCCGCGATGCTTTTACGTATTATGATACCGATCTAGTCATTCCTTCGTTTTACAATCCTCATCTTACTCATCGATCACAGTACTGCGAGGGGTCTCTAAACAATCTTAAAATACTGTTCATTTATTAAAACAAAAACATAAGAACATTAAGAAATAAAACTAAAACGGACTTGAACATAAAACAGACGAACATGAACATAAACCACTAGGGTAAAACTAGAACAAGGACATAAAACAATAAAAATGAACGAAAACACAAACGTAAAACATAAACGTAAAACACACTAAAACAAACGTAAAACACTAAAAACTGATAAAACAAGAAAAATAAAAACACGTAAACGCAAGGACACATTAAAATTCTTATGAGAGGCACCGGTCTTATGAAATCACTTAGCTTTACTAAAAAAAAATCAGAAATGTCTCCTGATACCTCAATTGATAATTCTCACGACCACTTAGCTCTTACGGAGGCCCATTCCGGGGTTCCTCACAACGTCTGGTTCCTTCTGTGACCCAAAGAGCAATCCCCTTATTCTTGCCTCTCCTGTTTCTTTTTGACTCTGTGACGCGAAAGAGTAAGTGAGTAACTGAATCTCTCGTTATTAATTTAATGTTTTAAAATATGCCATTAGAAAATTAAAATTAATAAAATAAATACTTAAAAGAATCACAAAAGAAATAAAATAATAAATAGTGAATTAATTAAAAGATAAAACACGTGATTCTTCCTCGTTCACTTTTTCGGCCAATTCTTTTATGTATATTGGTTCCTTGCATTTAGGTGTGGAATAATAAAACATTTAAAAAGAATGTTTAAAACAAAATAAAACAGACAAAAATAAAACAATAAAAGAAAGGAGGAGTGGCCGCGCTTTCCTTCCCTTGTGCCCCGTTTTCTATGCAGGCGCGCAGCCTCAGGGCGAATTCGCGGCATCCTCACCTCGCGGAGATAAAACACTGATAGTTATTGCCCTTCGATATATTTTCCGATTTCTTTTGTGCCTGCGGGAGAGTGATAGTGAGAGGGGTTTTTGATGACTTATTTACGTCGTGGTCACGGCGAAAACACGTGATTCACGACAAGTCTGAGAGGACCCCTCCCCCTTGGGAGGGGAGGAGGGGGGTTCCCCACCTTTGGAGGGGGAGGGGACCCCCCTGTTTGGAACTTTGGCTCGGTAACAATTACCGAAATACTTTAAAATAGGTAAACTACGTCAACTTATTACATCATACATATACGAACATATGAACACGTCAAAATCCGTTGTAGGAAACAAAGTCCTCAGTAAAATGTAGTCTGTGAATGAATGTCTTTTGTGGACATGATTATACTCTATAGGATCACTTCTATATTGCGATTGCCGGGATTTTCGCCAAGATTCTCGGAATATATTCAACCACGATGAGGATTGTTAGTGTAATCCTCTGAGCGGGAGGCGGTTCTCAAGGTTTGCTTGAGAGTTTTGATGACCGTTCTGACTCGGTTTACCGATGTTCAGAGGAGGATCACACAAGCTGAGTGGTTGGATATCAATCCATAAGAAGTATTCTTTTTTTTTTAAACTGAGGAGAAAAGTGCTAATGAAATGTAAAAAAAAAACAAACAAAAAAAATCTGTTTGCTGCTTCCTTGACTTTCAAGAATCAAAAACTTGAATATCTGTAACTGAAGTAAATAAGTGTCAGCTTATAATGAATGTAAATATCGTGATTTCAAGTTTCAAGCAAGTTTCAATTTAATTGATT